CGGCGATGCGGCGCGATCCTCCTACCCCAGCAACTCCGACCCCATCTAGGAGGCCTCTAGACGATCTGATGTTCTGAGCCCGAGGTTTCTCCTCGAGTTCGGCCTCTGGGTGACCGCCCTCGGACCCTGGAACAATCAAAGATGAGTCTGGAGCGAAAAACGACCCCCGGAGGATAGGGGTCGGGACAGCTTTAGGGCCGCGGATTGAAAAACAGCATGTCGGCGGAGGTCTGGCAGGTGTTTGCGAACTCTCGGCTTCTGTGGACCCTTACCAGGCCCCCAGACCGTGAACAAATCGCTCGGGATCCGAAACTGGTCCCAGTGAAAAGGTCCAGACGTCCAGGGGTCCGCGGTGAAGAAAAACGGCGTCGGAGGTTTGGGACTGAGGGTCCGCGCGAACGGGGTCGGCTGGTGCCGTCCTATCCCCCCTGGGCGACCTCTGTTTGGGAGCCGCGTGGGGCTGGAATCCCCGCCCCTCGCCCTCCCCTCCGCTGGCCCGAGCTTGGAGGGCTGCTGTGTGGCTGGCCAAGGCTCGCGGCGTGGCCTTGGCTTGCGCGTTCCCGACCTCTTTCCAGGACACGGCTGATCAGGGATGGAGGCTCCCATACATCCACCGACGCTGCCAGCCTGGAACAGATCCCAGCCCCCATGATCGGTATCTCCCTCTCTCGGCGCCCCTCTTAAGGATCCCCTCGGTTAACGAAGGCGCATCCCTCAGAAAGTCACCGCCCTTGGGATTACCAATCCTAGGGATGGGGGTAAGGTCGAGGCTGGGTTGCGATGTGAGCTGCTCCATCCTGCAGTCCCACGGGCTCCCGACGCCTGCCACCGGGGCAGGCGTTTTTGTCCTGGGTCGGTACTTGATGGCCCCAGCGCTCGAGAACGGGCCCTGGAGGCCGAGATCGAGGAACAACTTGGCGTTGAGTTCTGGGCGGGCGACAAGATGGGGGGGGGGAGGAAGGAAACGTGCACCTTCCTTGGCGGCGCGCACAAGGGGGTATGGGGAGGGGGGAGGGCTTCTTAGAAGGAGGCTGCTTCTTAGAAGGCGCCGGCCTTACATCTACAAAGAAGGCCCGCGCCTTCTAAGAAGCAGGGGTGCTTCTAAGAAGCCTTCCCCCCTCCCCCCACCCCCTTCTGCGCTTGGCCAGCTTCCGTGCCCCTGTTCGCCCCCCAGGGGCCCCGTCGGGGCTCCTTCAGGGCACGACGGGCGCACCTTTCTTCGCCCCCACTCATCCATCGGCCCCCCGCTACGCATCGCCCGCAACGGCGGCCTGGGCCGAAAACAGAATCGCACCTTCAGAGATCTGGCATCGAGGACTCCAGGTCCGTAGACCCATGCCTCAGACATCCCGAGAGCATCGGGACGGGCTTCTGCCCGCAGCCATCTCATTCAATCGATGTCACTATCGATCCCACTACCGATCTCACTACGGATCTCCCTTCCCGCCTCACGATCGATCTAACAATCGATCTCGCTCTCGATGTCACTATCGATATCACAACCGGTTTCACTATCGATATCATTATCGTTCTCACAACCGATCTCACTACCGACCTCACTATCGATCTCACCATCGACCTCACCATCGATTTCACAATCGACTTCACAGCCGACCTCACTATCGACATCCCTATCGACCTCATTATCGATAACACGATCTCAGTAACGATCTCCCTATCGGTCTCACTATCGATGTCACTGATATCACTACGGGTCTCACTATCGGTCTCACTACGGGACACCGACGGGGCACCGACGGGACACCAGCGGGACACCGACGGGACACTGACGGTACAACGACGGGACACCGACGGGACACCGACGGGGCACCAACGGGACACCGACGGGACACCGACGGGACACCGACGGGACACCGACAGGACACCAACGGGACACCGACGGGACACCGACGGGACACCGATGGGACACCGACGGGACACCGACGGGACACCGACGGGCCACCGACGGGACACCCCCGGCCACCGCGCGGAGGGGCGGGCAACTGGCTCCACAGCCCCTAGCCACGGCGGCATCAGTCCTCTCGCGCGCCCACGCAGCTTCGCCTCGCCTGCACGCACGCCACGAACCCGAAATCGAAACCGATTTCCCGGTGGGGGGCTCTCCGTTCCCCTTCGATGGGTCGAGCGATGTGGACGCTTATGGCCCTCCGCAGCCTAGGGGCCTCTGGAGACGTTCTTGGAGTCGCAGCGCTGATTTGAGGTCGGGATCTGCACCTCTGTGGATCATATTCTCGGGAACTCTACGGGATGGATCCGGCATGATTCGAAGCGCCACGTGCAACCCAGAAGTTCCGGCGACAATTTGGATGGCGTTTGGCAAGGATGCCTCTCTACACTGCAGGCGCGCTGGTTATGTCTCCCAAAGTAGCCAGGTGAGTGAATATTTCTGGGACGACATCCCGAGGGAGTGGCCCAATGTCGACCTCAAGAGCATCGGCTTCGGCAGCTTCACGAACAAGCACAAGCAACTCGCCTCCAGGACTGACGGCGAAGTCGGGCCCCACCCCGCCAGATCAGAATATGGGAAGACCCGCTGCCAGCCCCTTCTGCCGCACAGCCGCGTTGGCGGCGCAGAGCCCTCTCTCCCGACGCCGCATTGCTTCCGCCGCCCGGGCTCCCAGGGGTCTCGACCCCTTCCCCGGGGCCCGGCTTCTCCTCCCGAGCGGTTCGTGGACGGCTACTGGGGCCGGGAAGCGGCCCCCAGAGGCCCAAAGCGTGAAACGACAAACAACAGAAAAACAACACACGGCCGTCGCGATTTGTTTGGCGCCGCCCAGATACAGTCGAACCTGGGACAGAAGAACGCCCCTCAAGAACAGGAGACCCTCCGCCAGCCAGAACACAGAGAACATCCAAGGGTACCCCCCCCACGGGTGCACAAGAACACCCAACAAACGCGAAGAACATGAGGGCGCCCTCCCCAAATCGACCTCGATCTTATAACTACACCTCGGTCCGAATGTATCGGGGAGGAGGAAGAGGGGGTCGACGAGGAGGAAGGGGAGGGGGAGGGGGATCGATGAGGGAGGCAGGGAGGGGGGGCATCGAGATCGAGGAGGATGAAGGGGGATCGGGGAGGAGGGGGTCGAGGAGGAAGATAATAGCGGAGGGGAGGAGGAAGAGAAGGAGGAACGTCGCCGTCGTCACCACGGCTGGGCGCAGCTGGATAATTGACTTGGCTAGTGTGGATTTCGCGACGGCTCCGGGGCCAGATCTTGAGCGGATGTTGGCGGCGCGCAGAAGGGGTATGGGGGAGAGGGAAAGCCTTCTAGAAGGAGGCCGCTTCTTAGAAGGCGCCGGCCCTGCACCTATCTCGACAATGCCCGCGCCCTCTGAGAAGCAGCCTCCTTCTAAGATGCCTTCCCCCCCCCCCCCCCGCGAGCGGACTTCACACCTCGAGGCCGGGGCCGATTGCGCGGACACCCGCGCACCCGGGCTGCCCGCGCAAGGGGTGGCGCGCGGTTGCGCCCTCCGCTTCTCCGCCCCCCCGCGGCGGGCCCCCGGGCGGGCCACGCCGCCTGCCCGACGTGGGCCGCCGCGGAAGCCCGCCACGTTGTGGTTCACTTCGTGCTTCTCGCGTGCGGTCGGGCCGAGGTAAAGTGATGAGATCGGGGTCGGCTCGGGGAGGGTGCCCTGGTGCTCTGCGTGTCTGTCGGATGTTCTCGTGCATCCTGGGGGGGTACCCTTGGTGTCAGATCGAGGTCGGTTCGGGGAGGGTGCCCTGGTGCTCTGCGTGTCTGTCGGATGTTCTCGTGCATCCTGGGGGGGTACCCTTGGTGTTGGATCGAGGTCGGTTCGGGGAGGGTGCCCTGGTGCTCTTCGTGTTTGTTGGACGTTCTCGTGCATCCTGGGGAGGGCACCCTTGGATGTTCTGTGTGTTTTGGCCGGCGGAAGGTCTCGTGCTCGTGAGGGACGTTCTTCTGGTTTAGGTCCGACTGCGCAATCAACAAAAATGCCCTGGCGCCTCAGGACACTTCGTTATGACGAGCATTTGTTTTGCTCTAGGCCTCCAAGATGGGGTCCGAGTAGTTGGGGTCGGGGGATCGCGCCGCCTCGCCGATGCATCGGCGATGCGGCTCGATGTGGAGCCCGATGTTGTCCACGCCGACATCGCCGATGCGTCGCCGACGTCGCCGATGCATCGGCGATGCATCGCCGACGCGGCATGATATTCCGACCCCATCTACTCGGACCCCATCTAGGAGGTCTTTCTACTGCTCGCATCATTAATGTTACGATTCGTACTCTCATCATGAGCAGTACCCAGGGGCCTTCGGCGCACCCCACCGCCGTGCCATGGTTGTGGATCAGGGGCCTATTGGATGCATGCGGGGATCTCTTGGGAGGCCTCTCGTGCACCTTTTTGACGCGGTTTTGGAGTGTTTGTGTGGGCCTTTTGTGGGCATCTTGGGGGCCTCTTGGACTTGATTTGGGCCTCCTGGAGCTTCTTCGGGGGGGGGGCTTCTGGGGAGCCTGCCAGCGGTCTCGGAGGTCATCTTGGGGCGGAGGGCTCGAAATGGGGGGCCTCGTACTCCGTCTTGGCGCCCTCTTGAGCCGTCGGGACCCTCTTGGGCCTCTGGGGCGTCTTGGGGCGATCTTGGAGCGTGAAAAGCGAAAACGCCCACATCCACCCAAAACCTAACGGAAATATATGATTTTGGCCTCTCGGAGCCCTCTTGGAGCGTCTTGGGCGCCTCTTGGGCCGTCTGGAGGCCATCTTGGAGCGCTCTTGGGCCGACTCGGGCCTTGTTGGACAGTCTTGGAGGCCTCTTGGGGCCCTGGTGGCACGTCTGGGATCCTTCTCGGCTTCGGAAAAGGAATGCGGGAGCACGGGGGGAACCACGCCACGCCCCGGAGAAATTTGGGAGCTTGGAGTAATGGGCCTCTGATTGTTCATTCACTCTGAACTAAGGACGGAGAACTCACTTCAGTAGTAGAGTAGTAGTAGTAGTAGTAGTAGTAGTAGTAGTAGTAGTAGTAGTAGTAGTAGTAGTAGTAGTAGTAGTAGTAGTAGTAGTAGTCGTAGTCGTAGTCGTAGTCGTAGTCGTAGTCGTAGTCGTAGTCGTAGTCGTAGTCGTAGTCGTAGTCGTAGTCGTAGTCGTAGTCGTAGTCGTAGTAGTAGTAGTAGTAGTAGTAGTAGTAGTAGCAGTAGTTAGTAGTAGTGGTATTAGTAGTAGTAGTGGTAGTAGTAGTAGTGTGTAGTAGTAGTAGTAGTAGTAGTAGTTAGTAGTAGTAGTAGTAGCAGTAGTAGCAGTAGCAGTAGCAGTAGTAGTAGTAGTAGTAGTAGTAGTAGTAGTAGTAGTAGTAGTAGTGGTAGTGGTAGTGGTAGTGGTAGTGGTAGTGGTAGTGGTAGTGGTGGTAGTAGTAGTAGTAGTAGTAGTAGTAGTTAGTAGTAGTAGTAGTAGTAGTAGTAGTAGTAGGTAGTAGTAGTAGTAGTAGTGGTAGTAGTAGCACTAGTAGAGTAGCAGTAGCAGTAGCAGTAGCAGTAGCAGTAGCAGTAGCAGTAGTAGTTAGTAGTAGTAGTAGTAGTGTAGTGGTAGTGGTAGTGGTTAGTAGTGGTAGTGGTAGTGGTAGTAGTAGTAGTAGTAGTAGAAGTAGTAGTAGTAGTAGTAGTAGTAGTAGTAGACATAGACGTAGTAGTAGTAGTAGTAGTAGTAGCAGTAGCAGTAGTAGTAGTAGTAGTAGTAGTTGTAGTCGTTGTCGCTGTCGTAGTCGTAGTCGTAGTCGTAGTCGTAGTCGTAGTCGTAGTCGTAGTCGTAGTCGTAGTCGTAGTAGTAGTAGTAGTAGTAGTAGTGTAGTAGTCGTAGTCGTAGTAGTAGTAGTCGTAGTCGTAGTCGTAGTCGTAGTCGTAGTCGTAGTCGTAGTCGTAGTCGTAGTGGTAGTCATAGTCGTAGTCGTAGTAGTAGTAGTAGCAGCAGCAGTAGTAGTAGTAGTAGTAGTAGTGGTAGTGGTAGTGGTAGTGGTAGTGGTAGTGGTAGTGGTAGTGGTAGTGGTGGTAGTAGTAGTAGTAGGCGTAGACGTAGACGTAGACGTAGTAGTAGTAGTAGTAGTCGTTGTTGTTGTAGTCGTAGTCGTAGTCGTAGTCGTAGTCGTAGTAGTATTAGTAGTAGTAGTAGTAGTAGTCGTAGTAGTAGTAGTAGCAGTAGTTGTAGTAGTAGTAGTAGTCGCCGTAGTAGAAGTAGTAGTAGTGGCAGTAGTAGTAGTAGTTGTTGTTGTTGTAGTAGTAGTAGTTGTAGTAGTAGTAGTAGGAGCAGCAGCAGTAAGAGTAGTAGTAAGAGTAAGAGTAAGAGTAAGAGTAAGAGCAAGAGCAAGAGTGAGAATAAGAGTAGCAAGAGTAGTAAGAGTAGGAAGAGTAGTAAGAGTAGTCAGAATAGTAAGAGTAGTAAGAGTAGTAAGAGTAGTAGTCGTAGTAGTAGTAGTAGTACTACTACTACTACTACTACTACTACTACTACTACTACTACTAGAAGTAGTAGTAGTTGTTGTTGTTGTTGCTGTTCAGCTCTCACTGATGAATAGTTATTGTTGATCCCCCCACCGGTGCAGACTGCTTGTTCTCAATCAAAGTGTGCCCCTCGACGCTCGCACCTTGTTTTTTGACAGGGAAAGTCTTCATGCTCAAACTGGGCCCCTGGCCCCCGGGTTACAACAACAACGGCTCCCGCCTAAGACTTCCTTACAATTTAGCCAGGACCCCCGCTCCCGCCCGAGACTTCCTCGCATTTTGTTCCGGAATCGCGCTCTCGCTTGGGACTTCCTTAGAATTTATTCAGGAATCGCTCTCCCGGCGCTCTGGAGTCGCACTCTCGCTGGAGATTTGCCTTGCTTTGGAATTTCTTGCAATTTGCCTAAGCGCCGCGCTCCCGACACCCAGGCACCCAGGAGTCGCGCCCTTTGTGGCCCCATGTGCATGCCCTTCGTGGCCCCGCTGTCGCCACGTGTGTCCCCCATCACTGTCCTACGTGGCTTCTGTGGCCCCGCATTATCTGCCCTTCGTGGCCCCCGCTCGTTCGCGCTTTTCGTGGCCCCATACGCATTCCCTTCGTGTCCCCGCTGCCGCCCTTCGTGGCCTATTTCGTGCCCTTCGTGGCCCTGCTGTCGTTCTCTCTCGCTCTCGTTTTCGCTCGTCGTCGCCGTCGTCGTCGTCGCCGTCGTCTTCGACGTCGTCGTCGTCGTCGTCGTCGTCGTCGTGGTCGGCCCCCTGTCCGTCCCTCTTGGGGTCGGGTCGACGGTCCGCGGCCGCCCGGCCGATCAGCGCTGCCGCTGGCCAGGCCGACGGTCCGCGGCCGCCCCGCCGCTCGCCGGGGCCCGGCCTGCAGGGAAGACGAAGAGGGCGGGTATCGAGGGTTTGGGAAATACGCGTTATTGGACACTCGAGCATTTAAGGGCGAGCAGTCTTAAAATTATTGTTGTTGTTGTTGAATTCTCATTTCTGAAGAATAAGTACTGTTGATCGCCCCCACCGGTGCATATTGTTCT